TATGCGCTACAAGACTCATGAATCCCCCTCTCCAAAACTAAAAAGCAGTAAATAGTTGCTAGAGAAAGGAGCTACCTACAAGTTGGCAAGCTGTTCCAAGGAAAACAGCTTTTGCGTATTGTTCCCCATGCTAGGGTGGGCCTTTTGGTGATACAGCTGCCTTTGAGTCATGTGGCTTCTATAAGTAGCCCCTCATCTTCCTGTAATGTAACAAAAAACAAAAACTCTTTGATTCACCAGTTAGACTTGGACAGAATAGTCTCTACTACTCTGTACTGTCATCAGTACTTTATCTGAGATGAATAGAAGTTGTTTACACTTGCTTAAGAAAAAGTCACGCCACACCAAAGATAACCAGAACGCCCTAAGGGATAGAGGAAGGGTCAGAGTAGCAATGTGGGGCTGCTCAAAGACCCTAGGCATGCACAGACAGTGAAACCAAGCCCATATGGTAGCCCTACTGTGAGCGCCAGGCAGTGTTCAGTGGCCACCAAGTACGAGCTTCAGTGGTTCAGGAACAGACACAGCTGCAGACCTAGACAGCATTCCACCTGGGTAGGGCCATGTCCTCTCCTTTCTTACTTTCCCAGCCCTTACAGGCAAGCCTGGACCTGAGCACCTAGCAGATCTCAGTAACCAGCCCATGATTCACAGAGCCAGTAAAACAACAAACGCATGAACACACAGTACTTATGCATGACCCCTGCTCATTTCCATGGTCATGCAAATACAGGGTCTCGTGATCACAAAATAGCAGCCTTGCTAGCACATAGTCCCAGGCACTGAGACCCCACACTTGTATGTATAAACCCCTGGGGATTTGGGCAGTGGCCCAGTTAGCAATTCACAAAGACAGTCACTGACCAGACTATACAAAGGGTGATGACACACCTCAACTTCACAAACAGAACCTCCCAGAACCAGGGACAGGTTACCTATTAGGCAGTCAGGCAGGGCTTAGAGCCTCCATACTTCTAGGAACCCACAAAAAATTTTGTTTGACTTGTACACATATGTATGTGTATGCGTGTGTTATAAGTATGCATATGTGTGGTGTAAAGGCCAGAAGTAAAGTGTATTTCTCTATTGCTCTCCATTATTTTTAATTAACATTTTACATTTATTTGTACTTACATGTGGGCATGTGCATGCCATGATGCTTGGTGGCAGTCAGAAAACACCGCTTGTCACAGTGGTGTGGAGAAAGTACTCTATAAGCATATAGTCCTCAGGGACCACACACTTAACCAGTTAGTTCTACCACGTGTGTCCCAGGTGTTGAACTCAGGTCATCAAGCTTGGCTGCAGGTGCTTTTACTGGCAAGCTATCTCACCAGGGCTTCTTATGCTTTAAAAATGTCTTTTTGAGGGACTAGGGATATAGCTTAGTGATGGAGCATTTGGTTAGCAAGCATGAAGCCCTGGGTCCTATTCCCAGCACTGCAGAGAGAGACAGACACAGAGAGAAACAGAGACAGACAGACAGATAGAGACACACAGAAAGAGAAACTTGTTTTAATGAGGCGGGGACCCACAAAGGCAAAAGTGCCCAGAGGCTGAAATGTCACGGTGCTGTGGAGAAAGGACTCCCTCTATAAGCATACAGTCCTCAGTGACCACACTGCAGGACCACACATTGCTGGACCTGGTTGGCTACTCTGCCTCCAGCCCCAGTAAGGACACAGCCTCCCCAAGTGCTGTCTGAGTGGGAGGGGCTGTTGTTAGACCAGCCCCAGTCCCACCCCGTGCCAACACAAGCCGCCAGCCCATAAACTGGGTGCGACTGTCTACAAAAGCTCAGAATTTCCCTGAAGCTGCAACAGCCACAAGCAGCAGCTTCTTGAAGTTGCTGCAACTACGGCCAGAACTGAGCCAAACCATGCCTGTGCTTATACAGCATGGTCAGGAAGTTTGGAGAATGAAACCCTTCAGTCCTGAGGTCAGCAGGGACAAGTGGGCAGCTGGCGGGTTTCCAGGGCTGGGTTCTTGGTCACTTGAGCATCCCTTTTCCCAACGGTTGCCAGGATTTCTGGTGGGAGAAACGGAATGGCCTCCCTTATTCATCAGATCGGCCTGAGCTGAGGGCTCAGCTCCTCTTTCAGAACAGATGTGACGCTTCCTCTGGTCCTTGGGGGAAAGGGTGGGTAAGATGAGGCCAAGGCAAAGCTTGAGAGAAGCAGATGGCAGAGTCCTGGCCACAGAGGGGACTCACTTGTACCTTTCATGGCAATGCTCCTCTCCAGGCCTCTGCTCAGCTCTCTGACCTCACTGAGCCCTGCAAATTAATGGTCAACTAAAATCACAGCAGGGACAACCTTCTGAGGAAGGGGCTGGGCCCAACTACTTCAAGCAGGGTTCAGAAAGTTTGACATATGCCTTGAACTCTGCCTCCCTTGGCCAGGTCTCCCCAGACCCACCCCGTGCCACTGCAGCCCACCTGCTTTACGTCTGTACCCTCTTCCTGACCTTGCTCAACTTGGCCCAAGGCTCCAGAGCTTCCATGGTACCCAACAAGCCGTTCATCACTATTTGGAATGCAGACACTTACTGGTGCCTGGAGAGTTGTGGAGTGGATGTGGATGTCAGTGTGTTTGACGTGATTGCCAACAAGGAGCAGAGCTTTCAAGGCCTTAACATGACAATTTTCTACAGCTGGCAGTTGGGTACCTACCCCTACTATACATCCACCGGGGAAGCCGTATATGGTGGCCTGCCCCAGAATGCCAGCCTGGTTACCCACCTCGCTCACGCATTCCAGGACATCAAGGCTGTCATGCCTGAACCTGACTTCTCAGGACTGGCGGTCATTGACTGGGAGGCATGGCGCCCACGATGGGCCTTCAACTGGGACAGCAAGGACATTTATCGGCAGCGCTCAATGGCACTTGTCCAGGCAGAACACCCTGACTGGCCGGAAACTTTAGTGGAGTCAGTAGCTCAGGACCAGTTCCAGGAAGCTGCACAGGCCTGGATGGCGGGCACCCTCCAGCTGGGGCAGGTACTGCGTCCTCGTGGCCTCTGGGGCTACTATGGCTTCCCTGACTGCTACAACTATGACTTCCTAAGCTCCAATTACACAGGCCAGTGCTCACTAAACATCCGTGACCAGAATGATCAGCTAGAGTGGTTATGGAACCAGAGCTATGCCCTCTATCCCAGTATCTACTTGCCTCCAGCACTGATGGGCACAGGGAAGGCACGGTTGTATGTTCGACACCGTGTACAAGAGGCGTTCCGTGTAGCTAGCGCTTCCAGAGACCCCAGTGTGCCCATACTGCCCTACGTGCAGATCTTCTATGAAATGACAGACCATCTTCTGTCCCTGGTGAGTCCTCTGTCACCTTGTCTTCACTGTCAGCCTTCCTTGGTAGATAATAAAGCAATAGGTCCAACAGCTGAGTCCACATAGCTTCAGGGTACTTCTGTCTTTTGGGGGGGGGGGCGTCATGTAAATCAAACTCAACATCTTGTACAAATTCTTTCCCACTGACTTATACCCTAGTATTTTGCCCAATCATTCCCACATACATAGAACATCTACTTGGTGCCAACTTCTGTGTGGAGCATGGGTGATTCATAATTTTTTTAAAGAATTTTTATTTATTTATTATGTGTACAGTATTCTCAGTATTCTGTCTGCGTGTATGCCTGCAGGCCAGAAGAGGGCACCAGATCTCATTACAGATGGTTGCTGGGAATTGAACTCAGGACCTTTGGAAGAGCAGGCAGTGCTCTTAACCGCTGAGCCATCTCTCCAGCCCCGGTGATTCATAATTTAATAGAAAAATTAGTTCCTGGGGGCTGGAGAGATGGCTCAGTGGTTAAGAGCATTGCCTGTTCTTCCAAAGGTCCTGAGTTCAATTCCCGGCAACCACATGGTGGCTCACAACCATCTGTAATGAGGTCTGGTGCCCTCTTCTGGCCTGCAGACATACATACAGACAGAATATTGTATACATAATAAATAAATAAATATTTTTTAGAAAAAAAAGAAAAATTAGTTCCTGTCTATTTACAGGCTAGACAGAGAACAGGCTTGCCCCCAGCTATCAGCACTAGAGCAGCCTCAGGTGAAGGCTACATATTATTTGTCCCATCCAGTGATGTTGCAGCAGTTCCCACAGGCAGGAAGGACGGTAGGTCCCATAGAACTATGCATCTCCTTCCCAGGAGGAGCTGGAACAAAGCATTGGGGAGAGCGCAGCTCAGGGAGCAGCAGGTGTGGTGGTCTGGGTGAGCTCAAAAAATACATCTACCAAGGTAAGTCGAGGTCTGGGAGGAGGGGTAGGGATGAGGGGAGACTTGGCCTACTCTTTGTACCCGGGAAGTCCTGGCTGAGTGAAGGTAAGTATCACTTACCTGTAAGAGGTAAAGACTGAGTGGGCCCAGACAGGCTGCGGTCACTTACACTCTGCTTCCCACTCAGGAATCATGCCAGGTCATTAAAGAGTATATGGATTCCACACTTGGCCCTTTCATCATGAACGTGACCAGTGCAGCTCTTCTCTGCAGTGAAGCTCTGTGTTCCGGCCATGGTCGCTGTGCCCGCCGTCCCAGTTATCCCGAGGCTCTGCTCACCCTCAATCCAGCCAGTTTTTCCATTCAGCTAACAAGTGATGGCAGGCCCCCAAGCCTCAATGGTACCCTCACACTTAACGATCGGACAGAGATGGCTATGAAATTCAAGTGTCGCTGCTACCGTGGATGGCGCGGAAAGTGGTGTGAGAAGCAGGGTACGTACTGATTAGCTGGACCTGCTCGCACAGCACATGCTGAACACCTAACATACCCTGGGCCTACCTATGACTTCCTCAAATACAGTCACATGCATACAGTCACAGTCAGGAGTACACTCAACCACTGTTCTAGTCATACGCACACAGGCACACTCGTGGGGGTAGTCACATAGTGACTCAGAATTAAGGGCAGGCACTATAAGGACTTACTTGGCAGAATCATAGGCAAGTCCTTCAGAATCTATGAGTCAGCAGTCACAAAAGCGGACATTTGCCATATGTCTGCTCTGTGCCAAGACCTGTGCTAAGTAAGCACTAGAAGTCTTCACAATTCAAGACATGCAGGAGGGGTGAATACTTTTCACTTATTTTTTGCTGTGCTGGAAATTGAAGATAGGACCTCACACATGCTAGTGTGTGCTCTACCACTAGGCTATATTTCTAGCCACTGAGGGGGAGTACGTTTTGTCCAGAGTTGCCCAGCAAGAAGAGACAAGCAAGGCCAGGCATGATGGAGCACACCTATAATCCCAGCACTAGGGAGGCAGAGGCAGGCGGATCTCTGTGAGTTTGAGGCCAGCCTGGTCTACAGAGTGAGTTCCAGGGCAGTCTCCAAAGCTACAGATAAACCCTGTCTTGAAAAAGAAAAACAGAAAACAAAACAAAACCAAAATGTATATTGAAATCTAGGTTATCTGGCTCCAAAGACAGAAACTTGCACACCTACTGTGTGTTGGTGGTGCCCTAAATGAGCTGGGAAAACACAATAACACCACTCTACAGGATCCCTGTATCTCCAGAGAGATACTAGCACTGCTCAACCCAGCCAAGGAAGCTGTCGTATTTTACTTAGCTGTTTAGTTAGCTCCTAAAATAGGCAGGTCTCAGAACCCAGAAAGCACTGGGAAGGCTCGTTTCTTTCACCCAAGTATGTTGTCTAAAGACCACTGCTTTCCATGATCAGGAAGAAGTCCTCTGATGCACTAGGTCTGCTAGACACTATCAAAGAGGAGACAAAACGAAACTCCATTACTACGAGCCCGGGGCGGAGCGGGGAGAGGTGCAGGCGGAGCCAAACACAAGCAAGCTGCTAGAAGTCAGAGGCAGGGCCTGCAGTGGCCGTGCCAAGAGAAGGCGGAGCCATCGGGAGGAAGTTTTAGGCCGGCCACCGCCGGAAGGGAAGACACCAGGGGACCGAATGGGCCTGCACTAGTTCTGTTGTGACGCTCAGAACCAGGGGCGGGGTGTCTAGGTGGTGACATTCCGGGCACGGAGGACTTAGGAGGAGGTACGCCGTCTCCGGGGAAGACTGCTGTGAGTCCTCCGTACGGCTGGGACCAGCGTAGGCAAACCGAGGAATCGGAGCCAGAGACCACGAGATACCGAATCGTGCGCAGGCTGGACGCGGACCATCCCGGAACTCGGCTTTAACATGTCAGTATCACCCTCACATCTCACACGTTACTCATCTATCTTCCCCGCGCCTGTGGTCCCCCAAGTGGCCGTGTCGCCCCTCAAGTCTTACCAGCGCTGGCCCTCCCCCCCTCCCCCAGCATGCTGAGCCACATCCACCCATAATCAAACTTTCAAAACCCCCACTCCCAAAAGATCCATGCCTGTGTCCCACAAGGGGCAGGTGCCCACCCTCTCTGAATACCGTGAGCTTTGCTCTACCTACAGTGGTGGGGCCCGCAATGAAGGGGTTAAGCCGGTCTGGGGAACCCTGGGGCTCTGGGTAGGGGCGGACCCTGAGGTTCCTCCTTCCAGTCTTTGCTTAGCAGCCTAGGAGCTGGGAGGGAACGCTGCTCCGACTGAGCTGACTGAGGCAGGTAAGGGGCTTAAAGCCCAGGTATGGGATTTGTGTGAGGGGTGAGAACTGCCTTTCCTTCAGTGAAGGGAAAGTTGGGAAGGGGAGTCAGGAGGCACTTTACGTGGGAGCAGATGAGAGAGGGGGAGTTATCTGTTCATGCACTCCAAGAAATCCCCCAACATAGCCCCTTCTTCCAGCAGAACCTAAAATAAGGTGGGCAAACAATGAGGATTAGACATTGGGTTTAGGCCTAGGTCCCCAGTCTGGTGACCTGGGTCCCCAGTCTGGTGACCGTTGGACACCTTAGATTTAAGGAAGCCATGGTCCTTATCAGGGTAGCTATGAAACTCAGGCCAGAGGCAAGCAGGCTTGCAAAAGCCACATTCTGTGCAATGGGCCACTCTCCACGCCGATGCCTGTTAGGACACCATATGTAGCAACAGTTGGGTCTATACCCAAAGTGCCCTGAACGGGACAGAATCGGAGAGGGGAACCATCAGCTCTGCTCTCCAGGAAGGAAGGCAGGTGGTGGTGATGGGGGCGGACTGGGCCTGTTTGGGTGGGTGCGTGGGTCCCAGCATCCACTTGATAGCAGGTGTGGCTCAATAGCTCAGAGCTAGTGGAGAGCCGACATACAGGGAGAAGGGAGGACAGGGCAACTGCTGGGAGTGATCTTTCTTCTTAAAAAGAAAACTCAGGTTATAGCGAAGTAGAGAGATATCTGGTTCAGCCTTTGCCAGGCTAGCCAGCTACAGTCATGGACTACTACAGATAAGACAGGCTACTCGGGGTGGTGACGGCTGATGCCTGCCATCCTAGGACTTAGGAGGCTGAGGCAGTTGGATCGCTACTTTGAGGCAAGCATAGGCTACATACCCTGGAGAGAGACAGAAGTGGGTGCGACCCGAACCAAAGCAAGAGATAGCCCGCAAGTGGACGAGGTTGGTTAGCCTGGCACAGTGAGCTGTTGTAATGGTCAACAAATTTGTAGCCAGAACTTCTGGGTTCTACCACAGCCTCCAGCATTTACCATGACCCCCCTCAGCCTCCCTCCAGTGTTGGGGTAGGACACCTGGGTTCATTCATTCATAGGGATGGGTCTCTTCCTGGACACCTGTACTTTCCAGTGCCTTCCCCAGTTCCCAGATGCATACCCCCCCATCCCTCAGTCCTTCTCTGCCTCCACCCTGTCTTCCTGACACAGCCTAGCGTGGCTGTTATCCACAGGAGGTGAATCCGTGTATGAGGCGATGCCACTGCCTGGAGACTGTGGTCTTACCCTCCAGCCTGGCAATGAGCCACCTGAAACCTAATGGGAAGTGACCTTGGCTTCCTATCTGCCTCAGCTGAGCCTGGATCCTACCTGTAGGCAAGAGCTGACTCTGAGCCCCGGCCCAGCCACACTGACCCCTACCTTAGACCGGATGGAGCTGATCCTGAGTACCAGCCCAGCCAAGCTGACTCTAGATCCTGCATGCCAGCCAGAATTGAGCCTGAGAGTCAACCTGACCAAGCTAACCCTGGATCCTGCACGCCAGCCAGAGCTGTCACTGAGTCCTAGGATAGCTGAGCTGACCCTGGATTCCACATGCCACCCAGAGATGACCCTCAGTCCTGGCCCAGCTGAGCTTACCCTGGATCCTGCACGCCAGGAGACCCCAGCCCTCAACCCAGCTGAGCTGACCCTGGAGCCTGTGCACTGTCGACCTGAGCTCCTGAGTGCTTGTGCCGACCTCATCAATGACCAGTGGCCCCGCAGCCGTGCCTCCCGTCTCCACTCCCTGGGCCAGTCCTCAGATGCCTTCCCCCTCTGCCTGATGCTGCTGAGCCCTCATCCCACGCCTGGAGCATCCCCTATTGTGGTGGGCCATGCCCGCTTATCACGGGTACTGGACCATCCCCACAGCCTCTTAGTGGAGACAGTGGTGGTAGCCCGGGCTCTGAGAGGCCGTGGCTTTGGCCGCCGCCTCATGGAGGGCTTGGAGGCTTTTGCCCGAGCCCGGGGCTTCCGCCGGCTTCACCTCACTACCCATGATCAGTTATACTTCTATGCCCATCTGGGCTACCACCTGGGTGAGCCTGTGCAGGGTTTGGTCTTCACCAACCGTCGGCTGCCCACTACCTTCCTACGTGCCTTCTCTAAGACACCCTGCCCTCAGCCACCCTGCAAGGGGCCTATCCTAACTGCCCAAGGTATCCCAAAGAGCTCCAAGGGACCCCCATTACCACCACCTCCTCCCTTACCCCAGTCTCTGACCACATCACCCCCTCCTTCACCAGGGCCCCTTGCTCAAAGCCTGCTAGAGACACGATACCGAGATCTGAAGGGGTGCCCTATATTCTGGATGGAAAAAGACATCTGAAGGCTAGGCACTGTCGGGGACACTGAATTGCCCAGAACAGTCCCAGCCTCAGCCCACTGGCCATACTTTAGACCCCTAGCCCCTGGGGGCAACCTTAGCCTGTGTATGTTTCCTGGGTACCAATGGGCCAGGAGGTGGCTTAAGAGCTTTGGCTCAAAGCTGTTAGTGTGGCTGAATAAAGGCTTCCATTAGGTATGGCTGTGACAATTTATTTGTTAACCCCCCTGCCCAGATCCTCTCTCCCTAACTTGGCCCAAGAGCCATTGATGAGGTAATATCTGTCCTTTGTTGCTCCTCCTCTGCCAGGCCCAGGGTAACTGTTCCTTTCCCATTTGCTCATTACCAAGTACTTACTATGTGTCAAGCCCGGCACTGGACATTGGCAGTGAAGAATTTGTGTGTGTGGCAGGACTCATGCTGGGCGCTGCAGGGATCCGGGAGATAGGTGATGGTAGAGACCTGAGTGCTGGATATGAATTAAGTCAGGGAAGCGAGAAGGCAAGCGCTGAGTGTTCTTGAGGCAGAGACAACACAGGCAGGGGAAAGCCAGGGACTTGTGACAGCCATGAGTTGGGGAGACCTCAGAGAACATGATGGTGCCGTAACAGAGATGGACAACACTGGAGGGATGGACAAGCACCGGATGCTTGGGGTATGGCCTCTCTGAGAGACCCATGGAACACTTTGGTGCCATGTTTAACCCCCAGCCCTGCCCCTTGAGGGGAGGAACTTGGGAAGCTTTCCCAGCTTTCAGCTTTCCTTGCTGTGCAAAAGGCATGGCGTTGGCTGTGGACTCTAAGCTCATACCCCCTCTCTCCTGCAGGTTTCCATCTTTGTGGCACGACCATGCAGCTAGGTCTAACCCTGGTGGTGGGGGTAGCCCTGTGCTTGGTGTATGGCCAGTCTTTGCTGCAGGTTCCTGAGCGTCCCTTTTCTGTGCTGTGGAATGTACCCTCAGCAAGATGTAAGGCCCACTTTGGTGTGCACCTACCACTCAGTGCCCTCAGCATCGTAGCCAACTATGGCCAGCATTTTCATGGCCAAAACATCACCATCTTCTACAAGAACCAGTTTGGTCTTTATCCTTATTTTGGACCTAGAGGCACAGTCCATAATGGGGGTATCCCTCAGGCTATGTCACTAAACCGCCACTTGGCACAAGCTGCCCATCAGATCCTCCACAGCCTCGGGTCTAGCTTTGCTGGCTTGGCAGTGCTGGACTGGGAAGAGTGGTATCCACTCTGGGCTGGGAACTGGGGTCCCCATCGCCAAGTCTACCAGGCAGCCTCCTGGGCTTGGGCACAGCAAATGTTCCCCCAGTTGGGCCCTCAGGAACAGTTCCACAAAGCCCATATTGGCTTTGAGCAGGCTGCCCGTGCCCTGATGGAGTCCACACTGCAGCTGGGCCGGACACTTCGCCCACGTGGGCTCTGGGGTTTTTATCGATACCCAGTCTGTGGTAATGGCTGGCATAATACAGCTTCCAACTATACAGGCCACTGCCATGCAGCCACCGTTAGCCGAAACAACCAACTACATTGGCTCTGGGCTGCCTCTAGCGCCATCTTCCCTAGCATCTATCTCCCACCCAAAATGCCACCTGCCTACCATCAGGCCTTCGTCCGACACCGCCTAGAGGAGGCCTTCCGTGTAGCCCTTGCCGGGCACGCACATCCTTTACCTGTTCTGGCCTACGCTCGCCTCACACACCGGAGCTCCGGGAGATTCTTGTCTCTGGTAAGTAAAAGCTGAGGTTTAGGGGTCTGAGTCCAGAGACACAGCTCTGTTCTAGAAGGACCTGAAGAGAAGACATTGCCTAAAGGACTTGGGAAGGTGGTCATGATCTAGAGGTTTTAAAAAGTTCCTATCCTGCTGGGTGGTGGTGATGCATGCCTTTAATCCCAATACTTAGGAGGCAGAAGGAAGCAGATCTCTGAGTTCGAGGCCAGGCTGGTATACAGAGTGAGTTCCATGATGGACTGGAGCTATATAATGAGACCCTGTCTCAAAAACAAACAAAAAGATCCCAGCCTGCTGTAAGGAGGCATGGCTGTGTGCTGGGATATCTCAGTGGGTTAGATAGAATCCATCCTTTGGGTATCTGGTCTAAGGACAGTTATTCTCTGGAGGCCCTGGGAAATTACTTAGAACTCTGTCAAAAGGGCCCTATCTAGAGGCAGATCAATCATAGCAGTAAATCAAATGGTACCGTCAATGAAGTTGGGCCCTGATGGGAATCTGGCCAGCCCAGCTTTGAC